GCGCCGATCAGCTGGAATGTTGCAGCATCTCCAGGGTCTTGTGATTTACATTCAGATGCTTGGCAACTGATTCATATTTATGACGGTCACAGTGTCCCAGGGTCATGTGAAGTGACCAAAACCTGCTGCAACCACCCAGCAGACGGGGGGAATAAAAACCAAACACCCCCCACCCCACCCCCGCTGCCAATCCTCAACATAAATGCTCACAACAATGGAAACCTCGGACAGAAGGAAGAGCGCCACCGGGTGGGCAGGCAGGGGTCTTGCTCAGCTGTGGCTTGGGGGGGGGCACTTTTTTCAGTGCCATTGTAACTTCGAACAGTCACTAAGCGAACTGTTGTAAGTCGAGGACTACCTGTACTTTATCACTTTTTTCCTTTTTTTTTTTTTGGTCATCAAGTTCTTGACACCTTGCTAGGCGTCAGGTGGTACTCGGATGTTGCCATATCTTAAAAGTGGTACAATGGTTGAAAAGGTTGAAAAGCCCTGGTCTAGATTCTCCTGCTTGAGCAGGGGGCTGGACTAGTAGACCTCCAAGGTCCCTTCCAGTTCTATTCTGTTCTTTTTTGTTCTGTTCTGTTCTGTTCTATTCCATATTTTCTATTCCATTCCATTGCCTTCTCCTCTTCTCTCCTCTCCTCTCCTCTCCTCTCCTCTCTTCTTCCATTCCATTCCATATTTTCTATTCTATTCTATTCTATTCTATTCTATTCTATTCTATTCTATTCTATTCTATTCTATTCTAATTCTAATTCTATTCTATTCTATTCTATTCTAAATCTTATTCTATTCTATTCTATTCTGTTCTGTTCTGTTCTGTTCTGTTCTGTTCTGTTCCGTTCCGTTCCGTTCCGTTCCGTTCCATTCCATTCCATTCTATTCTATTGCATTCTCAATGAGCAAACATGAAGCTATTCACTCCATGTACAAATTCAGATTTACAGAAATACACGATGGAATTGCGTTCAGAAAATCCCCGATAAATGAATCCCTGCAGGGGTTAAGGTAGTAACATGGTTGTTAAGTGAATCTGGCTTCCCCCATTGACTTTGTGGGTCACAAAAGGGGATCACACACACACACCCTGGACACGGCGTCCGTTGTAAACGTGAGCGGGTTGCCAACTGTCTGAATTTTGATCCCGTGACCCTGGGAATGCTGCAGTGGCCGTAAGTTTGAAAAATGGTCCTAAGTTATTTTTTTCACTGCCACTGTAATTTTGAACCGTCACTAAACGAACAGTTGTAAATCAAGGACCCTCTGTATTTCCGTACTGAGTCAGGGTTAGCTCCTGCCTTGCTCACCTGCCCATCTTCAGGTCTCCAAAGATCCTGGTAGAATTGACATCAACTTTGGCAGAAACCGACGTGGTCTGAAAGGAGAGGAAAAAAGCAGAAATCAGAAAGATGCAGATCAGGGCCGTTTCACGCCCACTTCCATTATCTTTTCCTTTGGATGTAGGCCGTCCTCAATTTAACCACCATAATTAAGTCCGGAATTAGTTGTAAGCCAGGCTGGTCGTTAAGCAGATCATCATATAATCAACCCAATGTTACATTTCTTTTCAATGGTCTTCCCCCGTTGACTTGGCATGTGGGAAGGTCCCAAAAGGGGATCACGTGACTCCCGGGGACGCTGCAACCGTTGTAAATGCGAGTCAGATGTGGAGCGTCTGAGGCAACAGATAGATAGATAGATAGATAGATAGATAGATAGATAGATAGATAGATAGATAGATAGATAGATAGATAGATAGATAGATATAGAGAGATAGAGATAGATAGATAGATAGATAGATAGATAGATAGATAGATAGATAGATAGATAGATAGATAGATATAGATAGATAGATAGATAGATAGATAGATAGATAGATAGATAGATAGATAGATATAGAGAGATAGAGATAGATAGATAGAGATAGAGATAGATAGATAGATAGATAGATGTAGAGATAGATAGATAGATAGATAGATAGATAGAGATAGATAGATAGATAGATAGATAGATAGATAGATAGATAGAGATAGATAGAGATAGATAGATAGAGATAGCTAGATAGGTAGATAGCTAGATAGCTAGATAGGTAGATAGGTAGATAGGTAGATAGACAGACAGACAGACAGACAGACCCTATCACATGGTCAATGAGTAAGAAACTAGGTTAGCAAGGATTATAAGAGATCTCTCCACCCCCAAAACTTTACTCTGAAGACGCTGGCAGTGGATCAGCGAAAGCTAAGTTTGTTTTAGTATTGTAAATAGTTGCTTTTATTGTTTTAAATTTTTTAACAATAAACAGCTGATTTATATTCCTCCCGGAGTTCGAGGATTGTATATTATTGAATAGATAGATAGATAGATAGATAGATAGATAGATAGATAGATAGATAGATATGATCAGTGGTGGGATTCAAATAGGTGAACAACCGGTTCTCTGTGTGGATGCCGTTTCCGGAAGTCCATTCTGGGCCTGGGCAACAAAAAAAATTAGCTACCGGTTCTGCCGAAGTGATGCAAACCGGCTGAATCCCACCCCTGGTCGTAAGTGTGGAAAAACGGTCCTAAGTTCCTTTTTTCAGGGCGGTGATAACTGTGGGAAACCGGGACCTGAGTCTCCCGGCTTGGTTTCAGACCTCGTCCGGGGGCTGATTCATGAGTTGTCATATGAAGACACCATACCAGGTTTCCTCGGGATGAGATCAGCCCAGAATAGTCTCTGGGGACCTCTTTTATTAGCAATCATCACAAAGCAAATTGCAGGCAGAAGCTACAAGCAGGGGGGTGAACCGGGGGAGGCAAACGGAGTTTTGGAGGTTAGAGACAGCAGAAAGTTTTACAGAATGTATCTTATCTATTACATGGCATAAGCGACTAACGGTTCACAGTAAAGTTGCAATTATTGTTCACATTGGAAGGTCTTATCAAGAGGTGATAATATTATAGCTTGCATAAACAGCTTTCTTGACATGTCCCTTTGTTCTCTGTCCTTTACGTGTTTGCAGCTGCAGATTCCAGCCTAACACGTAAGCACTATTAAGCTTGCTGAAGGTTACAAAATGGAGTAACTTATGCTATATTCCAACAGATAACTTCGAATCATCACTAAATGATCGTAAGTCGAGGCTTACTCGTAAAAGACTGTGCAAAAACATCTGGATTGTCCACCATTGAGCATAACATGGAAGAGTTCACTTACCACTCCGATCAAAAAGAGGGGCGCCAGGGAGGAATTCGGGAGAATCACAAACGCCTGGATGTCGACCGAAGGGGTCAGCGAGATGGATTCGGGGGAGATGCTGAGAGATGGGGCCGAAGAAGGGGAGACCCTCAGCTTCATCGGCATGCTGGGGTAGAGCTGCTTGATCTGGGAAGAAGGCAAGGAGAGAAGTCACATTTCCAAAGATGGGCCTCTCCTTTGCTTGAAGCCCGGCTTCGCTGGGTGGCCCCCACTCCTTTGGAGATCAGGGGTGTGTGTGTGTCCCATGGTTGTTTCAATCCAGGGTGAAAATTAAAGAGACATGACTGAGATCTTCTAAGAACCACCCACAGGTTTAGGGGAAGGGCCCCTCGTAAAATAACTAACTCCCTTGTCGTTTGGAGTAGGACAGATTAATGAATATCCTTCGGTTTGCTTAAGCAGGACAACTTTAAGAGGGGTGGACTTCAACTCCCAGAATTCCCCAGCCAGCGATTGGCTATTTGATTGCCTTGACTTTATGCTCTTGTACAGGGGTAGGCAACCTCGGCTCTTTTATGACTGGTGGACTTCAACTCCCAGAATTCCTGAGCCAGCATGGGGGAACTATGGCCCC